GTATCCTAGTAAGACACTTGCTGTGCAGAACTCTCAAGTATATTATATCAACAACAGTGTCATCATTGATTTAAATTAAAAAAATAGTTTTTAATCTAATTGTTCACATAATCGCATTTTGAGTGCACTAATTCTGTCCCTACTTCTTTGAGTCTTTGTTTACTCTTTTTCAGTATTATCACCGTATTAGCTTTTTTATAACCCACTGGAGCATTCACATGGCCAAAGGCTTGCAGCATTAAAACTGCAGAGAGATCTTCAGCCTTCTCTTCAACATTTAAAATTATTCTAATCTGTTGATTTATTAAGTGTTTGCTTTAGTAGTTGTTTTTACATCTTCCTGACTTACTGTCAGGGGGAAGCTTTTCATTGTCGTCTAGTAGTAGAGACAATTATTTGGCTTTTACCTAAATACAGGATAGAAACACTTACTTAACAGTTCTGTCTTCTGAATTACTGCTGACAATTCTGTTGTCTGACCCTAGTAGCAGTCTGATATTTTTCTATGTAGAAATACTTAGCCCTGCTGGTCAGAGAATTCTCTGTGTCCTCTTTCTTTCCTTACATATTTCTGGAGTTTGTGGCTTCTTCAATGTTTAGCATGATCGACTCTTCTTCCCCTTATTTAGTTAGAACCTCTTAGATTCTCAACTGTGAGAACAGAAAAAGTAAGCGTATGCTACAGCAGGCATTACTGTCTATAAAAATCCAGAATGTCGAATCTGTAGAGAGCTCATCTCAAGGGAATTCAGTTACTGTAGGTCAAGTGACTGTTCCTCGAATTCATAGTGTGTTCCTTGTAGTAACACTGGCTAAAGTACTTTCATTATTTAAATACTTCAATGTTTGCTTTAGAATAATTATAGGATCACTTGGAGATACACTATGTTGCATTTCTTGCAAGGAAATAAATCTGTTGCTGGATTTTTAATCATTTTGCTGGTACTGCTTAAATACTGCATTTTCCTCAGAAACTTAAAATCTGATTTAGAGCTATTGAATCTAGATGACAGTCTTTCTTCTGAGTTGAGGTTCACTGGTATTTCAAGATGACGCTTTGTGATGTGCCTTACGTTGCCTTGTAATTTATTGTGTAATAAAAATGTCTAAATTCAGATTTAGATTTGGGGGGCAAATCAGAGTACAAATCATTAATTCTGTTGAGTTTCCTGTCTGAAAGACTTCAACAGCTGGTCAACTAGTAGAAGCAGTTTAGTTTAGATAGTTCAGTTTAGATGGGAAAAAACAAGAACAGTGCCTTAAGAAATTTAAATGTCTTTATTAAAAGCTTCCTCTCATCTTGAGATTAAAGCAAGATGAGTCAAGATTCCAAGGGAATGTGGGTTGAACTGTAGAGAAAACAGAAAACAACAGAAGATGGAAAGGAAGTGGAAATTATCATCTCTTTTCATGGTAAAGGTAGAGAGGGAAGCCTCTGTTTGGAAAATTAAACTATAAGAAACAATCAAAATGGCAATCAAATTGTGATTCTGTGAGGAAATAGGTGGGAAGGTATGTCCAATGCTGGTGCAAATCTGTTTTTAGTTCAAAGACCATATTTCTGCTTCTCAGTTCAAGACCTTGTAAAGCTTGGCTGAGTAAAAAGGGCAGGGTGGCTTTCAGCATCTAGGAAAACTAAGAACTAGAAGCTTGCAGTTTGCAGACTGTTATAACGTAAAACTACTAGTATGCCTTTGTGACATTCTGCAAAGGCAGATACATTAAAAAAATCTGCATCCTCTTCCCTTCTCAGTTTACCCCTGTTTCTGTGGCTCTTGAGCAAACTAATATTTTTTTTCATAGATCAAGAAAAAAACGTATTCCTAAGTCCTGGTTGAAACACACCAGGGCATTAAATGAAGCTTAATTGATGCATTCATCCCATACCTGGAGAAGTAGGTAAATGACCTGGGTATATCAGTAGGCAACAGTGTTTCCACACTAGATTATATTATTATAGTTCACTTGTACTCAAGAATAAACTATTTCCATGTGCATTGTTTCATCCTGTCAATTTAATTATTTTTCTCTGAAACACTTTAAACAAATCTCTTACTTACTGTTTTTATATGCCAAATGCACTCAATTTTGTTCCATATTGTAGCCAGCTCTGGGCTTTCTATGACTATGAAGTAATACCTTTGGAACAAAATTGTTCACCAAGATCCCAGTTTCCACCTTGGAATAGCCAAACCTAAACCAAATCTAGCACACCAGACAGGAAGCAGAACTTGAACACAATATATGTTTTTTTCAGAATCTGTTGGCAGTTTGAAACAATATCTTTGTCAAAAGTTCCCCTTTATGCTTACCTAGAACTAAGTCTTAAACTTTAAAAGTAAGGGCATATAGAAATTTGAAAGCATGGAAATAAAAGAGTAATGAAGAAAATGTAACCTTTATTTAGCCCGTGACAGAACAGAGAAGTTGCCATTGGTAGAACACAGAAGTTGCATTAAGTTAGCTAGTGTTTGCTTCAGCTTGTCATGACTTTAGGGGTTATATAAATTATTTTAGGCCTATTTTTTTGCAGAGTTGATATCAATTCTCTCATCTGAGGCTGAATTAGAATGGAGCACATCTAGAAGAACACCAGGGAGAAACGTAGTATCTGGTATCTACATGAATTTCATAATCTCAAATTCCATTGCTTTGGACAGCACTTACTCTGTAGCTCTTCTCCGTGGTTTGCCCTTTCAGCATCTTCATGAGTGGCACTCCTCCTCCTTCAAAGAGTAGTGGTGGAATTTTAACCTTATCTCTTGCAATAATGTAAAACCTACCTGGAGAGCAACAGACTCATTGGTTCTGAGGACCTCATTTAAGGCAATCACATTCACTGTGGGTTTTGATGCAGTCCACTCTCTGCTATACTACATCCTGGAGAAGCTATATAAACACTTTATCTATTGATATTTCTTTTAATTGTGTTTTGTTTAAAGTATAATTTACATAGATAAGTATTAAAAAGTCCAGTCTGTAAATTGCCAGTTTCTGTTGTACTTTTCTGTGTGCCAGGAGTAGAAGATAACCCTTCTGATTAATAACTAAAGCAATAGTTACACTTTCTGCCTTACCAAGATAACCAGAAAGCACAGCACAAAATTAAAAATACAGTACTACTTTATCTTCATTTCACTTTTGCATTTATTAGAATAATGCTATAAGCTATTGTATATCTATGCAAATTGTTGTCTTCTCCAGTATCGTCAACTGTTAGGAATGTTTTGTGTGTTCTGCTTTTTTATTCTTTTTTTTTTTTTTTTTCCAAATAAATTTCCCAGTTACGTATCTATCATTATAAAACTATTCTAAGTCTCTGTGCTGCTGCAGCAATGGGTAATGGTGGTGATTGGAAGAAACTGGGAATAGAGAGATACTAATGAAAAAATGGAAGGAACTCATGACAGAATTTTGTGAAGTGGAACAGACATTGCATAGAATGTCATGGATACTGACATGCAGTAATGGACTTTTTGGACATGCTTCTACTCTTAGGTGTATCTCTGTTATTAGAGTGTGACTTCAGGAGGTCAGTGTAATAGGAGAAATCATATGGAATGTTTGACCTCAGTAGTGGAGTTGGATCTTGGGAGCACAGATCCATACCCTAATTTGTTCCATTCATTTTTGCATGTCTCTTTTGAAATACGTGTATGCAGTCTTAACTGGATTCAGCTACTGACTTTGCAGGCACACTATATGCCACTGTCTAATGTTAGTGAGATCATACTGAAAGTACCGTCTTAAAACAGTGTGTTATTTTATTTACAGTACTTTAATTCTTATTTTAAATAAAACCAGAATTTATACAGTGTACATTTTGTGCTACATTTGATTGGTAAAAGAATTTTGAGTATAGTGTGTAACATGCAGTCCTAAAAAACTGGTTGGAGACTTGGACTGGCCTGTGCTGGCAGCCTTGCTGCCTTGCTGTATTTAAATTCCTATTATGTGCCCTTTTGTGCAAGATGAATCAGGTTTCTGCTTTTTTCTAGAGTTTCCCTAAGTGAATGTATTAGTATACTTGGTAGTTATTTGAAAGGTAATTCTATAAATAGTGGTTTAATGTTTGCTTATATAAAATTAATTTTATGTATGGCATACAGATAATGAAGTTATTTTTTAGCTGAGTCTCAGAAAATAGCTTAATTTGTTAGGAAAGGTAGTTTGGTGGCTCATGCAGAAGACCCAAAGTCGTCACAGGTTTTCTACATCTTTATATGAAAGATATTTATTATGGTGCTGTCTGAAATTGTGAACTTGTGATAGTAACAGTGAAGCTCAGTGTGCAGGTGACTTTGGGCAAGCTTATCACGGTAGTAGCACATGTGTAAAAAATCAGCAGATGTGAGTATGCTTGCTTCTGGATTGCCACAGCTCAGAGCCTGTCATATTCATGCAAAATTAATTTCTAACACTGACTTTTGCAGCCAAACCAGATAAACATTCTAGACTTCCCTGATTTTGACCTGGAATTCTCTTCCCAATGCAGTGATTTCCTAGCTAATTACTTTAACTGTAGTTACATCAGTGATGTAGGGTACAGGACAGTCCTGCATGTGGTTATATGTGTGCAAAAGAAAGGCAGACTGTGGTTGACACTAATTCAGAAATGCTGTGGAAACAGAAATGGCTACTCAGGATCATTTGAAATATGTGTTTACATTTTCTTCAACCTCTGTCCAACCTCTTGTCCCTTAGTTTTTCCCAAGTTTCAAGCAAGCAGTATTCTCCTGGTGAGAGCATTCCTCACCAAGAAGAGTTCAGACTTAATCTATGATATTTTGTTATAGCTTATCTTCAACTTGAAAATGTATAGCAAGATAAACTTTTTAAATACAGGTTGCAAGGGCACAGAAGCAATGTCAGAATGCACTTAAGAATGTTGACTTTTGACTGACATAGTGCTCTCAAGAATAAAAAGATTTGATTGTTATGGTTTCCTTTCTGTCTGTTTAATGGGCTACTTATGGATCTGTGTTTGTTCTTTTTCTCAGATATTAGGATTAAAGAAGAGGATCCTGATCCAGAAGAGTGGCAGCTCAGTGGTGATTCTACACTGAATACTAATGATCTAACACATTTGAGAGTACAGGTCGTAGATGAGGAAGGGGACCAACCACATCAGGAAGGAAAAAGACTGCGACGAGTAGCATGTACATGTCCCAACTGCAAAGAAGGTGGTGGAAGGTATGTAAAGTTCAGTGTCATATCACACGTATAATGATGAAAAATTAATAATGGGCAAGAAAATAAATGAGCTTTTGTTAGCAGCAGTTGTCTGCAGTGAGAGGAAACTAGAGGCTTATGCAAAGGAGTTTATGCAATAAAGGACTACCACTTTAATTTTGGGGTTTGCAGATGAAAAAAGCAGATTATTCCATCCTTTCTGGGTTACTTCTTTGAGATTAGTTGAAAAAATGTGGAGTTAGATGTCACCTCGTACAAGTGAGGGGGATAGAACATTGCCCTAAAAATATGAAAATGAAATATTTTGGAATATCCACATCTGTGATTGGCTTCCTCTCATATGTCAAGAATTTGATTAAATTCTGTGTTCCTGCATTTCCTCAATGATTGAGCATTTTTTTCCACAGTTCAATTGCTTTAGAGTGTTACAAAAATACAGTTTTCCTGGTTTTCTTATTCACTGGTTTCCTAGGAAAAGCAAGGTTTGTGTAATATAACAAGGTTTGTATAATAAGTCTAAATAACAAATTTCAAACTGTTTTCAGTCAAAGTTAGTGAGATTTGATTAAAAAGAGGTACTAAGTTCCAGTTCATTGCATTTCAGTGTTGCATTGGAACCTATGCTTTATTATTGTGCATTTCATTAAAACATTACTATTTCTTTTTATTCTGAAGATTTTATTATACTTCCAAACACTTAATTTTAAATGTCTTGATTATGGATATGGAAAGGGAAAGGTAATAACCTGCCTTTTACAAGTGCAAATATTTAGTTGTGTTTGTGCTTGAGAGAATTGTGCAGGGGCTTCTTTCCAATACACTAAAATTTGTCCATTTTGATAATAGTTTCTTCACTCTTGAATCTTGAAATCTTTATTTATTTGGGAGCTATAGTGTAAATCAGTAAAATGTCTTTAAAGAACCTGTCAGTGTCCAGTGGCACTAAGAGATCTAATAGCACTGGCTGAGTTACGTCTCTTGTCAGTTCTTGCTGCATATTCTAGATACCTGCCTTGCATACACAGGAAAGTAATATCTCAGGCAGCCATGCCTGGTAAGTATTAAGTGTGTTTAAGAGAAGAAGACTCTGATACATTTACATCACCAGCAAAGCTGGGGATAATATCTGCAGGTTATACAGCAAATATTCATCCATCAGATTCCCCTTGTTAAATTTTTATGTGTAGTTCACTGCAACATGGCACAGACCTTTCTACGTTCTTGGTGAACTCTGGCTCTGCTGTGAAAATCTGCCCAAAATACACCTTGGGTTGACACGTATGTCATTTCAGGAGAAAACTCTGAAAATGTGATTTGCACTGCCTGTACTCTTAGGAAACAGAGATTCCAGGTGTTGAATCTTCCTCGTGCTCTATTCCAAACTGCAGTGGCTTTAATTTAGAAATCTGTACTGTAAAATCCTCTTTCTTCTGAGTGGAGTTGCTATAAAATGAAACTTTAAAGTTTCAGCCCAAGAAAGATTCTTTTTGAGAGATGGTTTGGGAAGTCTGGAGAAGGGTGTAGTCTGACTGAAAACTCAGATATGTGATTTTTGGGAAAGAGTTGAGATGAGAGCTACAACAGAGTTCAGATAGATGAGAATCTGAAATCCACTGTAAAGGAAGGCCTGGACACATCAAACATACAAAGTAACTAGGAAAAGTAGGACAAGAAGTCAGGATGTGAGAAGAATTAGAACTGGAAGAGAAACAGGATAATGAAGGAGACAATGGTAGGGAAACAGAAAAGAGTGAAAGTGTTTACAGTTGCTAGAGCAACTTTCCCACCAGAATGTAGAATTCCTTTAGAGTTGAGGACAAAGCAATAAGCCCACTTGAAAGAATATTTGAGTGTTGATAATATTCCATAGCTGCTAGAGTTACCTGTTTATCCCTAGAGCTGGAAATTTGAGGTTTGATTTGTCTTTCCACTCTGCTGATGATTTGCATAGTTTCAAATAGTAAGACATTTGCTTTTGTAAATTCTTTCAGATAGCTGTAATAATTCTTAAAATGGTGTTAAAGTTGCAAAATTTAAAATTGAACAAATGCTTAGTTAACATAACTGGACAACTTTAATTCCTTGTGCATATACATTATCACTTGGTTTCTGATTACTTGACTGTGTACTATTTTTTTCCTATGGCATCAGTGCCATTTGGTGGATGGGGTGGCTGATACACAGGGAATGAATCAGGGCTGTGTAACGATTGTCACCTGCTTCACTTATTGCAGAAATTGGGAATTGTTTAGGGAATGAGACACAGGACTGCAGCAACAGGGCTCTGAAATTTTGGAGATGTAGATCTATATATCTCACTTTTTCCACTGAAGTACTGAGTTCATTCCTGTGAAGAAGTTAATTGAGCAGACTGTGAACGTCTACAGTACTCTTGGGAAAATATGCTTCTACTACATTAACCTTGACACCTCAGGCTGGTGGGTGTTTGATAATTTTGGCCTTAATCTCTTCCAACCTCGTACAAAGTGAATGTACTAGTTCAGGTTCACCATACCAAAACATTTATATGATAAAGCCATTACTGTTTGTGAACTGCTGAGAGACTGTGAGTGAGTGTTGTCAGTACCCATGATGAGGAAAAAAAAAACCCTGGAGAAATGAGTAATTCTGTATTTAACGTAGTATAGAAATAATCTGTAACTAGTTAAACAAGAAAAGTACTATAAATTAGTGTGAAGAAGCTGAATAGTGTTTCACTCAATTAATACTGTTGTTCTATGCTCTGAATGGAGAAGGAAAATGGCTTCACATATTCAGACTTTATCATAATTTCATCTATCGTATAGTGTTGGTTTTCGTATTTCTTGTATTTTCTGTTTTCTGGATTAAGAGGCGAGTTGAGAAGTTTTCTGGTTTTTGTTGTTGGCTTTTGAAATTGAACTGCATTGCAGTCTTCAGATTTGTACCAGTTTTGTGAAGTGGGAAGCCACAATTATCCTTGCCTTACTTGGTGGGAGGGAAAGTAGGAAAGGAAGAAGATGATGTATTAGATTTGTAAATTAACACCTTTTAGCCCCAAGCTTATTTAATAAATGGGGAATAAGCAAGTGGACAGAGAGACACACATGCCTCAAAGGATGACTGTTTCCAAACAGAGAATCAATCTATTAGGCTTCTAGTTAAGGTGTCTGAAGTTAAGTAGAAAGTTTCGTCTCCTCTGAGTTACATCTAGTTACATCCATTCACCCTCCTAACAATTACATCTGGAATTACACTGATATATAACTACTACTGTCTGATATATAGAGGAGCTGTGCTTCTGAGTACCACTGCAGGTATGTAACTCTAAAACCACATTCTTAAAATAATTAATAAGTTTGTGTTTTACCCTTGAAATACTTTGTTATTGCTGGAAATACTGCTGAATATAAAGTCCAGTTTCTCAGTGGATGAAGGCGTTTCCTGCTGAAACTGTGGCAATCTGCCTGGTTATTGAGAAACGTCATTTCCAATCTTTGTAAAGCTAAAATGTATTATGGAAATACTTCAATATTAATTGTTTTTAAGACTCCACTCAAGGATTAGGTTGGAGTCATACACATCTGTTCAGTTATGATGCCTACTGGCAGTGCAGCAAGAAAGGCCTTTTAGCATGATGTGTTAGGGCACAGTGCCAGACTGTCACAGCTGCACAGTGTCCAGATAGAATTTGGCTTGTGTCCTGTCAGTTTAGAGCACACATGAAGCAAACGTGCAGATGTCCGTATGAAGTTGTATAGAATAAATACACTTAGTTGCTAATTCACAGTAGTCTAGTGGGTTTCATTCTGTGGATTCTTAACTTCACCCTCACTTGAACCTTTGGAGTTTGCTAAGCAACTCTGTCACCAGTTAGGTGAGGTGCTTAGAATTACATGTTCTATACCACCTATGCACAGTAATGACCATGAGTTGAACCTTGGTTTCCTTCAGTCTAGACTAAAAGTGCAATGAAGCAAATTCAAATGATTGACATAGGAATATTAACATTATTCTAAGGGAATTTTGTTGTAGAAATTTTTTTCATTGTTATAGTACAATTTGTGTACTATATCATGCCAAGTTACAAATTATTTGTACTAATTATTGTGGAAGGGAAGACACTAGAGTTTATTTGGAGAAGGTGTGAGGATGAAGTCCTCAGATAATCATCCTGCTGCAATAGGATCAAAAGCCTTCTGGACACTTCTTCTGCTGCCATTGAACTTGTTCTGAAATCAAAAATTGTATTTGTCATGACAAGTAATTAGTAGGTACAAATGATGTTTTTATCTTCTGAGACAAAATGACTAATGAAGCACTATGAAGATTGTTCTATATTGAGAATTCATAGAAACACCTTCTAGGACTTAATGGGATTTTATCTCCTTCCTTTTCTGGACTGTCTGTAATGTTTTAGGTACACGTATGTGATTAGGCTGGAATCCCCTTTAGACACTGTGAGATTTTAGAGTGAGTTCACTTTTGTGCATGTTCAGAAATGCTTGAGGCAATTGCTAGCTCCTTGAAGCGTGTATGCACTTAAGCCTGAACCTTCGTTAGATGTAAACCAGAAGCTAAAGCACCCAGTTTAAAGAAAAAAATTGCCCTGGGGAGGCAGCTGAAAATTGTATAATTAGTCATGGAGGATGGATCACCCAAGTCTGTGATTTCAAAATCCACTTAAAGTGTTCTAAGTTAACATTGCTGGTGAATAAGGTGGCCTGATGTCTGGCTGCATTTTCCAATTTCCTCCCTTGTACCAGCATTTACCATTCACATAGCTGTGCTGTCAGCCACACCTATTCCCTCAAGTGCCCCTTTCAGCAGTAGCAAACATGTAAATTGGCTAAAATCAGTCATGATGCACTGCACTGGCCACACTGATCTTGTTCTCTGATTTGATTTAAAAAAAAAAATAGTCATGATTTGATTTTTAAAAAAATTAAAAAATTAAGAAATTAGGCTGTTGTACCAGATGCTTCCCCTGATCACCTGCCATTTCAGTGAGACAGCATCTTAAAATAAGCATCAAATTTACTCTGGATTGTACGAACTGTGAATTCTGTCTTCATTGTGATGGATTTCTTTTTTTTAACTGAAAAACTAAGGAATTAATTTAAATGTCAGCAAGATCAGCTTCCACCTCTTTTAGTGAAAGCATTCGGGTTAGTATGCTTGTCTTCAAAACCCAAACTGATTCTCAGGTTTCCCCAAGATGCCAAAAGTCCCATCTGTTCTCTACCCAGCTGCCAAAATCCCCAGTGTCCATTTTGGCAGTTGCAGTAATTCATGTTTTTCTTTGCCAAAATTATCTTTGATATGGTAAAAGCCTGAAACTTGGAGAAATGTAAAATATGGGCACTTCAGCATCAAAGTGGTACAAACTGCTGTGATAACTGTATTTCCAACTTCATATACATGAATGCTTCTTAAAGAGTATGCTTCTATACATACATTTCACACACAGCTGAATTTATCATTTTCTGTGGAGTTGGGATAGCATTATTGAATTTATTTCCAGCTTCTTATGGAGTGTACTGGAATCCATTTTTTTTTATTTGAAACAAAAACATGAAGCTGCTTGGATTGGTTTGCAGCTCCATTGTGATATGTGTAGCCTCATGTATGTACATGACCAGTATTTAGGAGGAATGTATTAGAATGAATAATCTCTGTGTCTCTCTCTCTCTCTCTTTTTTTAAACAGAGGCTCCAACTTGGGAAAAAAGAAGCAACACATTTGTCACATACCAGGATGTGGCAAAGTATATGGGAAAACTTCACATTTGAGAGCTCATCTCCGCTGGCATTCTGGAGAGCGTCCATTTGTTTGTAATTGGATGTTCTGTGGCAAAAGGTTCACTCGCAGTGATGAGCTCCAGCGACACCGAAGAACGCACACAGGTTTCCAGTCTTTGATTCTGGTGTATTTAACTAAAGGAGTGCTATGGACTGAGTTTGGATAAATAACTTTTAAGAGGAGAACATATCTTTGAATTGGATTGATTTTAATGCAGTGTGATCTTTCCAAAATCAGCTAAATCTTATTGATACTTACACACTTTGGAATCGTTGGTAGGTCTGAAGAGATAAAACAGCTACCTCTTCATTTAGAACTGACATTTAAGCTAATGTTTAATGTAGCTTAATCAGAATACTTTGATTCAGGCTCAGCAGTACATTTTGTTTGTTTAAACCAGTTTTTCAACTCTTTTTCTATCTTAAAACCTAAATAAGAAAAAAAAGAGGATGAGGTGGCCTGGGGATTAGATATCATTCCTAAAATCAAAGAAGAACATGTGATAGTGCATCAATTTGCATCTTTTAGTTTCATGGTTAGACCAGCGATTAGGAACTTCAGGTTCACATTTCTCCTTCTGTCTAATACAAAGAAAATACGTTAATGTAGATATTCCACCTTATCAAGGAGCACTTAGTTTATTGTCTGTTTTATCTGTTTTATTACAAACTTTATTACAAACTTTATTACTTTATTACAAACAAATCCACATTTGCATTCAACAGGATGCCTTTTAAAATCATAGTATTTGAAAAACCCATAGTTAATAATTTTTTGTGCTTATGAGCATTTACATTGGGTAGAAAAATATCTTTGGATGTCTGTTAAAAATAGTCCATGTTGTTCTTAATGGTGTGCTTTTGTGTAGACATTTTGGATGCTAAATCCAAGCTGGGATGTTACAGATTGCCTGGATGGACAGATTGATGGTTTTTTATAAAAGCTGAATTGAATGATCCAGTTCAGAGGGTGTTTAATAGCTCCTGGTGTATCTATCTACCAGTAAAAAGTAGAGAATGCAGGGATCTATCCTCTGACCTCTTTTAAAATCTTTATCATTGACCCGGAGGAATTAACAGAGTTCTTCTGTTAACCTTCTTAGGTTTGTGGATGACCCCAAACTGGGGTGACCAGTCAATGCACTTGATGGCAAGGCTGCCATTAAAAGGAATGGAGTCTGAAGGAATGGATTAACAGGAATCCTAGGAAATTCAGCAAGAATAGTCACAAAGTACTGCACCTGGGATGGAATTAACACTTAGGGTAACACAGGCTAAGCATGGAGAGGTTGGAAACATCTCTACTGAAAAGTACCCAGGAGTCTTGATAGAAAAGTAGAACATGATCAAGGGCCAGCAGCAAGGATGCTCAGAGTTGTATCAACAGAAGCAAAAGCCCTGGTCACAGGGATTATTCCCCTCTTCTGGCTAGACTGCATCTAGAATGTGACATTTGGTTTTCAGCACCCAATATTAGAAAGATATTGATGACAGGATTAAGTTTACTAATGAGTGACCTAGATGATCCAGGATGATCTGGAACATTTGCCTTTTGAGGAAAGGCTGTAGGATTCAGATGCACAAAGAGAGCAGTAATGGCAGGGGGGAACTTAGTAGTAATTCTCTAGTTAGAAGAGAGGGTGCAAATAATGCACCCTCAAGAAAGCATTTACTTTCCCTGATGGTGTATTGGTTGAAGGATAATAGACAGCAGATGTATGTTGAAATAAGAAGGCTTCAGAAGAGCTATAAATAAAAACTTTTTGACTGTGGGAATAGCCAGGCACTGGAAGAGGATGTACATAGAGTTCCTGTGGCCTCCATCCTTAAAAGTTTCCAAGAAAACTGGATAAATTCCTCAGATCTGATCTCATAGGTGGCTGCTTAGAAAGAACTCAGAACACAGACATTCAGAGGTCCTTTCAAACTTGAATTACCCTATGATCTTGTGTGTCAGTCTCAAGTGTGATTCTGCTCTAGGTGATACAGTCTTCCCTGTCCATCATTTGGTAGGTTTTGTTCTCCTCCTAGAAGTTATTTATTTGTAATAATTGCAGTGAAATTTAGCAGCCTGAGGATATGAGCTGGTTATATTCTTTAGCATGCCTGAAAGATCTCCCCAAACTCAGTGAGACACAGAAAATTAAAACAGTTCTTATAGGAAGGATTTGTATGGGTGTCAAGAAATATAAAACACAAGTTTATAATGTTGGATCACTTTGTTCCTCCATATAATTCTTGTTAGAATTCTGTCTCTAAAAAGCAGTAAGTTTAATTTTAATTTTTAGTGTTCTTGAATATTTTTTTTCCTCTTTGACAGGTGAGAAGAAATTTGTCTGTCCAGAATGTTCAAAACGCTTTATGAGAAGTGACCATCTTGCCAAACACATTAAAACACATCAGAATAAAAAAGGTATTCACTCTAGCAGTACAGTGCTGGCATCAGTAGAAGCAACATCTGATGATACTTTGATTACTGCAGGAGGAACAACACTTATTCTTGCAAATATTCAACAAGGTTCTGTTTCAGGAATAGGAACTGTTAATACATCTGGCACCAGCAATCAGGATATTCTTACCAACACTGAAATACCTTTACAGCTTGTCACAGTTTCGGGAAACGAGACAATGGAGTAAATATTACACAAGATACCTATTAATTGTGGTTATTTTTATACAGTAGTGAGAAGAATATTGTTCCTAAGTTCTTAGATATCTTTTTATTGATGTGCAAAAATTTTTGGATTGACAGTAACTTGGTTATACATGACACTGAAATGCCTTACTTTGTATGATATTCCATAGTATATTAAAATGGTAAAATTGCATGGGTTTTGTAGGTACTTTTGGAATCTAGAAGAGAAGAAATTTTACCAAGTTATATTAAAAAAAAAAAAAAAAAGAATTTAACGATGGAAATGGTAGTCTAACCAAATGCATCAATCCTGTGTGGTTTAGTGTAAAAAAAATGAGAACATGTTGGTATTTATCTATTGTAAGATAAAAGAAGTTGATGGGTGAAAAGAAATCACATTATGATAAAAGAAATTTTGTAATTTTCTTGATGACTGGAATTTTTATTATGCATAACTGACAAATCAAGTTTCCAAGCAAATGTTACATAGTGTAGGCTTTACTTAGCTCATCAACTTGTCATTTTGAAGCTAATTATTTTAATTAGGTTAACTATGTACAATATTTTAAGCATTACTCTTGTAAGATTTTGCAAACTACATTTTAACATGGAACTCTAGGGATAGTCACCTTTTAAATCCTATTGAAAAGCCATGTTTAAGATTTAATTTGCCAAAATGATGTCTTGTTAATATTCTTTCAATAACCAAGGTGGGCAATATAACCAATGTTTAAAAAGCTTAAAATGTTAAGAAAAATAAATATGTATAGGTTGAAGCATTTGGGTGGTAAGGCAGATGTTATAGTGAAGTATATCCCTTCTTTTGAACATTGGAGGACCAAAAATAAGGTGTATTGCGTCTCAGCAGTGATTTTTATCAAATCTTTTTCCAAAAAAAAACATCTGTATGCCAGGGCCTTAAAAAGCCATCATGTAAATTACCAGTAAAATATAACATATGCAAATACAAAAGAAAAATCACTTTCATATTGACAGTACTCCCAAACATATGGATATAGTCATAGTGAACTAGGGGGGGTTATGAGGTTTTTGTTTGTTGTTTAGTTTTTGGTTAGTCAATCTGCATTTAAATATCAGCCATCTTTCCTTTTTTGCTTCTTCCCTTAAAAATTGTATGTATCCAGTACATTTAACTGATAAACATATATGTTTTTTATTATGCTGAATTTTCTTTTTATTTTTTAATTACTGTTTATATTTTCAATTATAGAAAATGTACAAAATGAAGTTATATAGCCAGTCTGTAAGTGCTATACCATTTTCAAAAAATGTACAACAATAATTACTGCAGTTCACCTATTTACAAACATTTGGAAATCTGTTCATTTGTTATTCTTAAAACCACCTCAAATTTAAAGGCTACCTTATTGTACGTTTAAAGTGTATTATAACAGTGTGGTAGTTAATAAAACACTATTTTTTTTTTTCTTTTGACTTGAGTTTACTGTGTTTCTTGTTAACTAACAAGGTGTAATTTCATAATATGTCTTGATAGCCTGAGATGTTTTATTATTTTGCAGTAGGTGGTGGGAAGCAGAAGCAGTGTTTTCTTTCCCTATGGACACAGAGATGGTAATTTTCCACCTCCACAAATACACCCCATCTGTATGTGCATGGACATGAATGTGTCCTGTTGGTGTAGTGGGGATGTTTTGCTCTCATGCTGAGCAGGGCATGGAGAATATGTAGGCCCCATCCTATAGGTCATGTTTAAGTTCTCTGACACATTCACAATACATGGAGTATTAATAAGGAGCTGTGACTAAGTGAGAACTATGAGATTAAAGGGAGTAATGGTTGTATATAATGCTGTAATGAAAGCGAAACGCTTCTATTTGTGAAGTCTAAACTTTTGGAGTATGAAATGACAGAGGACAGACCAGGATAATTTAGGATAAACCAGGCTAAGTTCAGCCTAGAAAAATGAGAACTGGAAGTCACATAGGAAAGATTTTCTGAATTTGCAGTTAGGTGGAAAAAAATATTAATGCAAATCTTTTAGAGATTCAGAGCAAAAGGAATTGATAGGTACAGAGAAGAGGGAGTTAATTCACCACCAGTTTAATCGTCTGTTTAATAAAATGAAAGGATGAAATTTGTTGGGGTGAGAGCAGCAGCTTGGGGGAAGACAGTTCTGCTTAGACTTGCAGTGTTCCATGGATGTTGTCAATATATTAACACTCTAAATCCTCTTTCTTTAGGCAGTTGGATGGGCTTGGTTTTCAGAAGTTGTTTTAATATGCAGAGCATATTAGTATATTTCTAATACTTGGGTTCTATTTCTCATCACTTAGCCACCAGTAGCTGTATTAGTGCATTATTTTAAGAAGGAGGGAGGAGAGGGCTATTTCCTTATTCAAACTGCTTTTCACAAGTTTTATGGAGTGACACTTTCACTGATGTTCATCTGTGGATGAAGGTGTTTTGGTGTCAAGGGTTTTGATGTCTCATTGGTGAAGATGAGAATACTTTATTTGTCAGAGCTTTTATGCTCACTACATCAAGTGGTTACTTTAATTAGTGTTTAGGTAGCACATTTTATAAAAAGATATGTTGTTAAGCTTCAGAAGGTAGGTGTTTTGGAAGAAAGTAACTCTGGAAGTCTCATGGAAAGCCTGCAGCCTAAGGGCTGTCTGCCTAATGGTTCACAGCCATAGTGTTTGTGCTGTGGGACAGTAATTTCTGAAAGCTCCCTGCTCACCTCCAGGGTGAAGATTCACAAGATCTTCATGGTGTATCTAGGATTGTTGCTACCTCATGGCCTCTTTTCTGGTCCTCTGGGCATTCATGTGATACCAAGACAAAATTGTAAAATGCTTTCCTGTTTTTCATGGGATCCTGACAACACTTGCCTGAAGTGCTTCTTACTGGTACAGTCTGTATCATTTTACGTACTTATTTTTGTGCCAGGCTTCTCTCTTGTGTGGTTTCTTGGTATGGTAGTCTTTAGATCCCTGGCTGGTTTTTATCTCTTGCAGTCTTGTGTAAGGTAAGAAGACCTTAAAACTAGGTCTGCAAGACAGCATGAGTTTGAGAGCATCCTGTGTTACCAATTTCAGTGGTTCAACTTCTTTAAGTACAAGGATTGTACATACCCTTGCTGTAATCTCAGTATTGTGTTCATTCCTGAACGAACTAATGGTTTGATCCTTGCAAGTTGCAAACTGACACTGATTCTTGCAGAGAACAAGACCTTTTAATCATTGTTACTTAGCAGGTCAAGGAGCAATATGTCTAAGGACAATATCATCATCACTTAAAAGACTTATGAGGAACTGGATTTCTGGTCTGATGATAGAGATTTTCCTCTGGCAAGGGACTCTGCAGAGCACTTTTTGGAGCTGGTCTGAAAAAGAAATACCAGGCCTTGGTTTTAGGCATTTTTAGCAGCTGGAATCAGTAAGGCAAGTCTTGCCAATGGCTTCAGGAAAGCTCTGATGCATTCTCTCGCAAGTTGTTCTGGGTGTTGGGGAACAAAGGAATGGAGCTAATAGTCACGTGTCAAGAGTGATTTGTGGCATCTTTAAGTGAAGAATTAATGAGCAGCTGGCTGCCTTTCCTCCAGATTTTTACACTAGCACTAACACCAGGTGTGTAGAGCATGCACTGTGAAAAAGGGCAGAAGATGATGTGGCTGACTTAACTAGACAGGAATAGTAGCCATTTTCCACAACAGTGGGGTACTAGTGGTTGTCAGCAGGTTGTTCTGTGCTCTAGTTTTTAAAAGATTGTATCAAAAGGAAGCATTTTTTACAATCCATTTTACATACAATTCCTTCTTTCATCTTGGAACTAAAGGAAAAAAAAGCTATTTCTGACTCAAAACAGAGTCTGTAATTCCAGAGCTCATTTTGGCATCTTGACACTGTACAAGCCTCTGTTTGGACAAGTTGGTACCCTTCTCAAGCCTTATTATTGCTGAGTTGGTGGAAGAATGATATGAAAATTACCTGCTAGGAAAAAAACTTCTTTCCCCAGCCGTGCATTCTCTTCTGTCAGAAGGCTCAGTTACACAGATTTTGAGCTCAACATGAAATGGACACCACCAGGAAAAGGTTCCAAAGCAAGATTTAGAACTATTTGTTGCTTGAATACTGCTTTTCTTACAGCCTCCAAAATTTCAAATCTTGACCATGCTCCTGGCGTGCCTACAGATATAACAAAATTTATTTCTGTATATATCTTGCAACGTAGCTGCATTTTCCACAATGCTTTTTGAAGAATGATACCTTTACAAGGATTATGGGCTGACGGATCACCATAGCAAATAATTTTCAAACAGCAAAAATTAGTTGATAAGTGGTATCACATAATCCAACGCACCTTTCTCTGTAAAGATCTTTCAGGTAAGAATCTTGTGGCCCCTTGACAAGAAAAGAACCATCAGAGAGCTGGGTGCCAGGCATGGGCAAAATATTGAAATTTTACATTATCTAAAGGAGTCCCTAACTTTCACATATGCTGGGTAACCCACCTACCCACCCTCAAGTTCTCCCTCCTGTTTCTATGGAACTGACTTTATGTAAGGTATTCACAGGATTTTATTTATCGTTTACACATGAACACTACAAATGGCTACTTCATCACAGTTGATTCCTAAATGGATGTTTTTCTTCCATTGGGACGTGTTTGATTTGACAGACAAACACCAGAGAATGTAACTGTCTAGTTACATTATGTTGTTATCTGAAGAAATCTGTTATCTACACTATTATGTTGCTATCTGAAGAAAAGACATCGGGTTTGTAGGGAAAATCAATGGGATTCTGTGCATGTGATTACCCTGTGGTGGAGACATCATGATGATATTAGATGGGACTGTTCTACATTTACTACTTAAATTTAATATTGATTTCTGTCCTCTGCCTAGGCCACTGCATGAATCATTATCGGTACATTGAGAGAGTAGTAGAATACAAAAAGATCTTACTGCTTCTGCCATTGTGGTTTTGGAGACTTATTCTGTCAGCCATTCTTCACTCTAGAAGAAGGTACTAGACTCTGATTCTAGTACTACAAACGGTACTGCTGGAAGGTTTAGTGGTGAAAACGATGGCTCCTTAAAGGGTAGTAGCCATGTCTTATATTGTTAGCTTGGCTGAAACCTGCACTGGGACCTTCTACTTTTCTGAGCTCCTGCTGTTTCTGATTGTAGTCTTTGCCTGTTTCAGAGTTGTTGAGCACAAGCTAATCTGGCACAGCTATATCCCTTAGTATATAAACATTGGTTCCCTGTTGGGACCTCAGCTATAGACTTGCATAAAGAAACATGTAATGTTCAAGTGTGGTTGGAACAGATACACACAGAGGTGTATGGCAGCACTTTGCCATACTTTTCAAAAGCAGCGTGGGGGAGTGGATAAGAAGACCTGAGTTACGTGACTTGGTAAAGACCAGCTTGTACCAGACACCGAACAAACAGGTAAGTAAAGAGTGCTCTTGTGGGCTAATGGGAAGACTTGTGAAAATGAGGACAAAGGATGGTGGGAAAGAGGTAGGAACAGATGGGTTGGATAAGTGATTTGGAGTAGGGTTGCAGAACACTGTGGAGACACACAATAGTAAGAAGTAAAATAGATTATGGATCCTAATTCCTGGTGTTCCTTCTGGAAACCTTCTGGAATATTGGTCCCAGACAAGTGTTAGTGCAGCCATTTGGGGGATCTGTTGATGAGTCAGACAAGTTGCAATAAGACAAGGAAAGGGGACTAAAAAAAAATAAATTGAGAGCTGCATAAAGCTTTTTGACATTCATGATGCTTTCATAGCAGTCCTTACTGCCTTTTGGTTCTTTACTAACCTGTACACCTCTCTATTTTGTAATTTTCATAACTATATACGTCAGATATAGCAGAAGCCCACATGCTAGACTGAGATCTGCCATAATATGCAGTATTGCTTGAGGACTAATGAAACTCGTATCTGGAAATGTGCACTACTGTAGGTGATTTATGCTGGAGAAAAACAGATACACATTGAAGCTTGAACTGTGCTGCTTAAGCCGCTTTTTGGCCGAATCCTTTCAATTGAAGTACAAGGATATTGTGTCTATCTTAGGAACTTAGTACGGGAGAATGGATTGGTCCTGCAGCAGAGTCAGGCTTGCTCGCGTCTTCACTTCTGCAGCTCTTTTGCATGTTGAGTTTATTTACTGTCTCAGGAAAAGGGTATTTCTCAGTTGCCAGCCACACAGGCTTTGTTTCCCTGCTGTGGTGAGGGCCGCTCTCCTCTTGCGGCCGCCCTGTGATGGTGCAGGCCCCGCAGGAGCTGGTGGTGGGTGTGGGGCCCACAGACCCCCACGGCTCCGCAGCTGCCGCAGGCCTGACACGCACACAGAGCACAATTCGAGTAATATTATTGCTTTTGGGGACCATCCCTAAGGGCTGCCCACGTCCTGCTGAGAAGGAAAAGAGCAAGCAGGTAGCAGGCACGGG